TGCCTTTGGTTGAAAGAGTAGGAGGTCGAATGTAAAATATTAACCTCTCTGGAGACTCCACTCGTGATTTTCATACGCCAACACGAATACTTTCTTCATTTACACACTAATTAATGCTAGCTTATATGACAATTTTCTGATTCGACTAATGAAAAAAAAACTTCATTTTTTAAACGAGTGGTGGCATGAGTATTTATGTGCCTACGAAGCCAGTGAGCAGTGGCCAGTTTATGTATGCTATTGTTTCCCACCGTCGGTACGTAAGTTGTCCACTCTTCCTTCCTGATTTTACACTTCACTTAGAACGTTCACAGTAGGCAATTGTCATTAAATGTTGTTATGTCTTTTACTTAAATGATCTTATATTACTCATCTCTCTTACGTGACTTCCATGCTGCAAGAAGTATATCATTAATGTCGATATAGCGGAGAGATACAGACTCCATTGCTGAACCAATAAAACGAGCAAGTTCATACACATGTATTGTAGATTAATATTTTTTATACAAAGTCTGTGATTAAATACTAATATTCAATATGAGCATATTACACAATTTACATTTTCATCATTATACAGGAAGATTAGATATTCTGTGAATAAAGAGTTTTTAATTTTAAGTCGAAGTTTGCATATATTATGAATACATAAATACTTTGCTAATAAAACGTTTAACGCAAAGTTCCAAAATTTCTTCATAACACTAATTCATTCCAAGATTACCTCGACACTCCATACTTTTCAAACTTATGGAAAATTATTAAATTTATACTCAAAGCTGCACATTACGATAATGAAATTTGTAATCTAAAAAGGATAAACCATAAAATCACGATAACATTTTAAACAGAAATCAACGGCCAATGGTATTCCACCGACATTTTAAATTTCAATGCCAGTGTAATACCACTTTATAATTTGAATCTGAGAAATGAAGAAGATACACAATGTGTTGAAATTTGTTTTTTTTGTGAGAATCTTATGGGGAGATTGTTAGTTAATCAGTATTATATTAAAGATCTTTGCATGAATTATTGTGGTTGAAAATTAAACTAATCTTCTCCGTGCTACTCTTCCGCATCCCCACCCCGTTCTCAACCCCTCTCCTCTGCGCCACCCCACCCTTCTTCCCTTCCGCCCCTTATACGCCCTCGCTGAACTCGTCCCTTCAGTCCCCGCCGCCACCCCGAGAGACTGTTGAAGCTGTCGCCCCACGGCAGCCACCCATGCCGCCAGCCGACAGTTCCGCCCCTTTGAAATACTATCGCCATTTCTGCGCCCGCGGCTGTGGAGCCAGCAGCCACCTCCACTGCCACCCTCGCCGTCACCATCACCTCCACCCCCACCTCCTCCGCCACTGCGGGTTTAATCACGCCATTGCCCTTTCCGCCATCATCACCACCTCATCCTTTACACTCACTGCCACAATATATTGTCTTAGTCACTGCCACAATCTCCGTCACAGCCCCTGTCGGACTCTCTGGCACACTCTTTGTCACAGTCACTGTCACGGGCGCAGCCACTGGCGTAGCGACTGGCATTACAACACGCTCTGGCACTTCGCAGCCTCTAGCACTGCCCTCCACTCCATACCGTACACAGTGTACAGCAGTGGCAATACATGCCACTGACAACGGACACAGCAAGTTCCCCTGAAAGCCATACCTGACTGTCATCGCACTGCACTATCACTGCCACTCACTCCTTGTCTTGCACACCACTGCTCACTTTGCCGCGCCTCTCCTTTTTCGCCCCCCCTGCAGCCCACCGCGACACGCGGCCGCCGGCCTACAAAGCTGCGTCGCTGGATTGAGCACGCCGGCCCCAGCGCCGTAAATATAGGCCCCCTTTTTCAGCGCCTCCCCCGCAATAATTCCTGAGGGCGCAGAAAAATTAATGGGCGCGCTCCGCCGCGAAGGTGAATTATCTCAGTTTCTACACACGCGGGAGAACGCAGGCACGGCGCCTCTCCCCAGCAACGACGCCACCCGAGTGAAGCGGCGGCGCCCAGCGCGTTGGAAACGCGCGCACGGGAAGCTGCGTTTTCATATTCATCACCTGACTGAGTTTTCGTTTTACGAAAAGCACAACGTGAAGAGTAAAACACTTCATCGATAAATGTAAAATACAGTCCTGTTTCAGATGAAATAGGAGTATGCTCTTTTCTCAGAATAATAAGCCACATCTGTTTGATTTTACATTATTAAATAGTTTTATGTAAGCAATGACCTGAATTACAATAAAATATCGTTTCCAAATATTCATATAATATTTTGTAGAACCGGTTAAACTTACCTGACATCTGCCAAACGATATGATACCATATTCCTGGAATACTTAATTATATTGAACAGAAACTACATTTTATATCAAACACATTACGTTCAATTGTTGCCTCAACTTTTTACATTAAGGGTTTAAAACAACTTACTTTTCTCAATAAAAAACTTAAGTTCTAAAATTATAAAAGGGATTCTTATAAAACTATATCAATATGTTTCTGCACTTTCAGTGGAAGTAATGCAAGTCGTCATTAGCCGTATAATAATATATAAGAGAAGGATTAAATGGTTTGCATAAAAACTATGCAATTTTTATACAACTATGATTGGACGTTTTGTCAATAATGAAAACTGATCAATGGGCATGAAAAAGTTGTAAAAATCTAAGCTGAATTACTTACAAAACAGCCTTTAGAACCGTGCGATTTGTGAATAACGTGTTTTGGTGCGAAAACGTTCTAGCTAAAGAACTGATGTCTTGTGCTTTGGTGGTCGGGCTGCGGGTCAAAATAAGAAATGAGATAACTAAAAAATATCTAGTCAAGCAAAGGGCTTCCCTTCTCTAGATTCATGCTTCTCACTCCCTTTCATTAATAAATACTTTCATGTTTCATTTTGAGTCTTCATTATGCGGGAGGGAGTGTGGGTGGCTGGAAGAAGTCTAAGAAGGATGTCCTTGCGGTCCGGTGCCCAGTTCATTCACACTCTGCACTGAAGCTAGCTCGCGCATTCGTTGTGACAGTCTAATCATTTCCGTGGAATATTTGTCATAAGTTTCATATGTCTTGGGCTTCCAATTATCATTTCCGCTTCTTTACATTACAATAATTCACTACCTGTTGATATTTATTGTCTTTCATGTTTCACAGAATATCGCCACAATTCTCATTTCGATTTCAATTTCAATGAGCCGTATTCAACACTCGAAATCCATATTAAAATAGAAATTGACCATTATGTAAAAAAAGGACTCCTTTGAACAAATTCATTAAATAATTTTACTGTATAAATTCTTTAAGGAATTAGAAACTATTTATACTATCCTATTAAATTATGTGTTTTACGTTGTATTCGTACTTGTTAGGTAATGAGACTAGTAATTGCTTTTGTTTACTTATGACAAGACTCCGTTTCAAATGGCTAAATTGTAGTGTTCTTTTTTAATAAATGAGAATTGATTGCTTTCGCTGATCAGGGTGGGGAGTTGAGGTCAGAAAACCGAAGTTTCATCCCAAACTTTCTGCCATTCACTGTTTTTCTCCTGCAATGGTATTTTTTAAGAAGAAGTTTCGTGTGAAAAATTCAGAAGACGGGTATATTGCCTCTAGATTAAATGAAGACTGAGAACACGATAACATGTGAAGCCACTTCTAGTTCGTCCTCTGAGCACCCACTCAGTGTGTGATTGTCTTACAGTTAACGTGACAATCTGTGACCCTTCTAGTAATCGCTTGAGGAAGTAATAAGAACAATGGCCTCCGAGAAATGACAGCAGTACATTAGGTTTGTACAGAATTTTAAAAGTAGCTTCTAAAAGAAGTGAAAAGTAGACGTTTAATTTTAAAGAATTAGGTTATTAAACAATAAATTTTTGAGTGATAAACGAGAAACCTTGTTCGAAAGAAAAAAAATATTTTGCTGGAGGTAAACCACTGCAAGATTAATATATTGTAATAGATACAGAATTGCAAGAGTTCATCTCTAACTAAACTTACTTGCACTAAAACTATCGTTGTTAAAACGGTCAGTTGTTAAAAGTATATTATTTCATTACAATGAATAGTAAAATTGTCTTTATTGTTTCGAGAGATTTGGACCATACGCTGTGATCTTCCACCTGATCTCTGCAAAGTTCACGGTACAATAATATAATTTATAGTATAGTAATAAATATGTTATAATAAATATTGAAATTGTCTTTATTGATTGGTGAGGTTCGAATCATATGGGCTGATCTTCCATCAGATGACTGTAATGTCCATGGTATAATAATCATAAATTTTGTGAAAGTAATTTGATTGGGAAGTTATTATGTAAGCGACCCCGAATACAAAGCCATAAGTCACTTCAGTTGCAACTCAGAATACTTCATGTTAATATAATTTTATACTTATGTTAATACAAGTGTATTGCTTCGGGTATGTAAAATATCAAGTGCAAGTGATTTTTCACGTTAACTCTGTACTCAATTCCCAATACCTTTATATCGACAGTGACAGATGAAAATACAAAAACTGCTTGTTTTCTAACACTGAAACGGTTTATTTGGGCTTGTACACATGATTGCAATATATACGTTTCATAGAGATACACTGTGATCAAAAGTATCCGGACACGTCCAAAATGGTGTTATGGTGTGGTCGTGCTTTTCATGGAAGGGGTTTGCACCCCTTGTTGTTTGACTACGTTGATGTTTTAAACACCTTTTTGCTTCCCACTGCTGAAGAGCAATTCGGGGATGGCGATTGCATCTTTCAACACAATCGAGCACCTGCTCATAATGCACGACCTGTGGCGGAGTGGTTACACGACAATAATTTCCCTATAATGGACTGGCCTGCACAGAGTCTTTGAATTCTATCAAACACCTTTAGGATGTTTTGGAACGCTGACTTCGTGCCAGGCCTCACCGACCTACATCGATACCTCTCCTCAGTGTCATACTCTGCGAAGAATGGACTGCAATTCCCCAAGAAACCTTCCAGCACTTGATTGAAAATATTCCTTCGAGAGTGGAAGCTGTCGTCAAGGCTAAGGGTGGGCCAACACCCTATTGAATTGCAGCATTACCGACGGTGGGCGACACGAACTGGAAAGTTATTTTAGGCCACGTGTCCGGATACTTTTGATCACATAGTGTAGGTGTACATACTCATTTCCGTGATTCCATACACTTATTCTTTTTCCTGCTCTGATACTATGCACATGAGCTAGATGCTTCGCACTCACATGGGTATTTATAGATATTCATAAAAACGGATATATGTTTTCAATCGGGCATGAAAATAATGGTGTGTTGATTGCGAGGACTGCTGGTGGGAAAGATTTTGCGTAATATTATCTCTGAAAAAAAATGTTTAAGTGAGATGATTGGGTCTTCAGAAATAAATAAAAATATAAATTTGTCATATAATTTATGTATTTTAGATAAGTAATATACAAGTACATAGAAAAAGTGCAATACTCTTTGTCACTAGAAATGCAAACAATGTGACGTTAAGGTAGCTCAAGATAATTAACAATTGTTATCAGGATTACATTTTTCACTCGCGTAGCCACTCAGTGCTTTCCATTCTATTTCAACCTCGTACATTATCATACATTCGTACTAAGGATTTGCAATCTCTTCACGAAAGTCGTAATAAATATACAGAAGTGCAGTTCGCTTACATACCTTCAACTACAATCCTATTTTTTTGGCTTTTAAAAACCTAATTATTTCATCTCTCAGAAAACGTATGATTGTATACGTTCTCATTGTTACTTCGTTTCTCAGTCCACTTTACTTTTTCCTTGGTAGTATACATTATAGTATATCCCATCTCAAATGTGCGCTTACGATTTCACAGCTTTTTGTTCATTCTGCGGGTAAGTTACCATCGCATTCTTCATTCGATCCACATAATTGAAGTAATTTTTGAAGTACATAATTGAGTACAACCAATCAAAGAATCCTACAAACACTACCCTGGAAAATGTCTAGTGCAAATATGTATAATTTTACATATTTCACCCGTCACGAAGCGCCTAAATTTAAGAATTTCTATTGATTTCAAACAACTGAATTTCTGTGTATTTACATGGATTACTAACTCGTGTTGAATAAATAAAAAAAAACAAAAACAAAAATGAAACCGAAGAGTCATCTAGGTCGCAGCGCGGAGGTGGCGAGGGCAGCGGGGTCGGGGCGCTCACAGCTTGTAGCTCTGCCTCATCATCAGGTCGAAGTAGGCATCGTGGTCGATGGAGGCGCTGATGCCGGCGTAGTAGTTGATGAATTCCTCTTCTGTCACCTGCGACGGAAACGCGCAAAAAGTGTTACACTCACCTGCATCTGCACGTTGCAAGGCAGGATTGCCAACAGTTTGAAGGCTCAGAACTTTTGAATTCCCTCGAATTTCCGGAAACAACTGGATGGTACTGTAAGGTACTAGACTAGAGATTGGAGCTTAAGTTTATAGAGTTAGACGGTTAGGGCTGAAGATGGAAAAAATATTACAGAGCTGATTTCAGTGAAAATATGTTTGTAGGATGTGTCAATATCACCACAAAGTCACAAAGAATACCCCGTAGCTTCATCTGTAAATTGTTAAAAATCAATGCCCAGTAAACCACAAAATAATTATTTTATTAAGACATGTAAGTTATATTATGTACAAAATCATATAATTAAAAGAGAAATAGTTGTACAAAACGTATTCCGTTTGCTTCATTGTCTGCAAAACGCATTAGAAATTAATTTCTCGTTAATGTTTGTAATGCCTCGTACAACATTTTGATTGAAATATAATTGATGATTAATTAAGATTGTAGTTTTTCACTCAGCACTGAATCTATTAAAATTAAAGCTAGTGAATGGCACACACTACCGTATTAGTTTTCTATGTCCTTTGATCTTGGCTAGCTATTCGATCTTGCCACATACTTTTGCTTTCTGCCATCTATCGCCACCCAAAGTAATTTTTTTGAAATTTACTTAGTTAATTTTAAATTGAATCTAAAACACATTTTCCAAGAAATTGTTTGAGTTTATGAAAACCTTCATTTGAAGTCTTTTTGAAGAACTTTAACTCGCTTATACAATCGTATTTATAAATTCGCTGAGAGCATATTACCGACGTAAGAGATCTTTAAAAAAAATACGTTTGTGTAATTTTTTTAAAAACAAAAAAATCCCCGTAATGAACTTTACGTAATGTTAAAGAGCGGTATTATCACTATCGTTTCAAAATTTTGATGAAAAAATGTGGAGCAGTTTTTAAGAAAATGTCGATTGACCGTTTCTGAATGAGTTTTGAGCTAGTTTTCACAGAAAACTTTCAATACTTTCAATTTCGCTACTTTCAATTTTGTAGTTGTAATAAGACACAGAAAAAAATTACGCCTTAAAATTTTCAAAAATTAGAGTTAACTGTGAAAATCGGCCCTATGCCACGTTTATAAGTGTGTGTTACTCTATTCGTAAAAGCAATTTAAAGAAAACATTTGGAGCCGTTTTTGAGAAAATTTTGAAAATGTCCGAGAGGCTACATGTAAAGTACCTCCAAAACTAATGAATGGTTTTCAAAATCGCAAAGCTTCGACTCAGGCCAAATAAACTGTGGTTTCTTCAATTTAGAAAAAAACTATGCATGGTTTAGGGGCTAGTATTGTTCACATACACCAGGTGGACGGACCGACAGTGTGAAAAAAAAATTCTGTATCAGGGGACCCCAAAACGTGCATTTTCGTTCAAATCTACAAATCGATTTTCCGCAGCATTACATAACTCTTCCAATTCTACGTATATTACTCCGAATATACGTACGTACACGGGAAAGTAAAAATGGTGCTAAAAGCCCTTCAAAATTGACATGTATATTTGGCAGTTAAAAAGTCTAATTATCTCCACACTTTTCACATATTTCGTAAAATTTGCCTATATAAAATCTTTGCCTTAAATTTTCGCCATTCCCAAATTCGATTAAACGAGTTGTTTGATTTACTTTTTTAGGGACAATGCGAGAAGTGATGTCACATATACCCTTCTTGACTTGTAAACCCATGACACAGACTTTGAATAGGAGGTGGTACCAAATGACTTATGGGTAGTGACACTGTAACCCTAACATAAAAAGATTTTTGAAAGGTTTTGTAGCCCTCATCCTACCACCCACATCAATCTACAGCCAAACTCTTTTTTCATCAAATTAACACTATTTTATCTGATTGAACAAATATGAAAATTAAGAAAGTAAATTATTCTCTCAGAAAAATACTTTTCGATAATTTCTCAACGCAAAATTCAAACGCCCAAAAATATTTTGAAAAAATTACAAAATTATTTTACTATAACAAAAAATACTTTTTGTATCTTTTGGAAAAACAAAAAATAGAACAATATGTTGTTTACGTCATCATATACAGTACATTTAATACTATCTCTAACAAAAGTTTAAAGAAAAAATCTAAAGCTGTTTTTGAGAAAATCTGGTTTTTGTATTTTTTTAAATTTTACTTGCAGAAAAATGATTGAAGAAAACTACTAAAAGCTTCAAAGAAACGTACATTATATTAATGAAAGAACTAATTATGGACAAAAAATTTCATTTGAAGAAAAAATCTATCTTCAATTCAAATTTGGCGCACTTTTCTCATTATTATTTTGAGATATTTAATCAGATGCCTGTTAAAACTTAATATTCCTGAGCTAAAGAGCTTGGTCTTCAAGCATTTAGAGATTTTTCCCTTCAAGAAATTCTTTCGAATCTTTTGTAACGCTATTGACACACCTCACGCAAACATATTTTCGTGAAAATTTTCTTTCTAATATTTCAAATTTGGCGCTAAGATATTTCGAATTTTCTGCTTTGTATTTTTGATCAATCTTTCAACAAATGTAGGCACAATCTCCCTTTTCCTATTAGTTCCTGCGTTAATGCGTCCCGTATTGCAGTTTCAATTGTACTTTCAGATGTTTCTAAAATAATTTATTTTGTCTCTTCTCTTGCCACGAATCATCTCCAGCAGTTTGAGCAATAATTTTAATTTTATCTTGTATTGTATAAAAACGTAGCAAAACTACAATCGACCCTTTTTCACATTGTAATGAAATGTGTTGGTATACGTAAACGTAACTGATGGTACAGACATCAAAGATGGTGTCAATGTAAAGTACTTCTTGTAGTTGAGGGCTAGTACTTTCTTTTTAACAGATAGATACACTGCTCTGACACAAAGCAAGTGTTGAATTAAACATATTTTAATATAAAACATATTGTATTGTTTGAAATTCGCAGGATCATCGCGAATAGGATATGGAGATCCGTTTGCATCATCGGCATAGTCGGCCTTGAACCAAACTAATGCCTTTATTGAATTAGGAATTTCGTTACAAAAGAATTAAGGAGTTCACTCATTGCTACGCAACCACTATTGGCATTACAGCTTTCCAAGTACTATGTGCTTCGTACTTTCCCTGTCGAGGGAAATGTTAAAGTTTAGTATTCTGTTTAGTACTTGACAAATAGAAAAAAGTATTCAATATGCAAATAAGATAACTATTTCTCTATTTGTATACTTTTTACTGTAAAACATTGTTTCGTAAATTTTCCAAATGATCATTGAAACTATTGTATTAGCAATATTTACAGCATGCAATTCACACTCACACATAGCTTGATTCTAAAGCAAAATAGTGATTTAAGATATTAAATTTGTTATTTACATATTAAATTTAATAACGTTATTATGAAGAATTTTAATTGCACCGAAGAATATATTTTAATGTTATGAGTTATTATTGATGTGTTAAGTAGTAATATTTACACTGCATTTATTATGAAGATTATTAACATGCCCATCCACTTGAAACACTTGTGATTTGAAAGAACACGCTTTTGAACATATGTACAGTGCATGAAGACAGTGTAGTTTAGTGCAACGTACAGACACAGATTGTTAGGGCATGACTGCAGTGTCAGCGTTGAAATCCACGGGAGCAAGCAAACACAGTGATTCGTTTTGTACAGGAGAAATGCGTTATTCAGGTTATTCTTGTTGATCAAAATCTCTACGAAGATCGTTAATTCTGCTGATTGATAAACATTGCCCATTACCTGAAAATGGATGCTAAAACTTTGTGTCCTTAAAGCTTCCTACTATCGTATGTTGGAACATTATTTGTATGCGGCACAGTTGTCTAAAAAGAAATTCCCGTTGAGACTAAATAACCATCATACATGTGTGAGTATTGTAACAGCGTTGCTTCATAAGTAATTTTCCGCTAATAGCTAAATTCCAGTCATTAAAATCAAGACTTTAAAATATTAATAAAATCCCTTGCCATAAGTCTTAGAAGATTTAATGTTGGTCTGATGGTGGTGACGTGAGAGATTATTGTATCTTAGAAAGCTACCACTGGATGTCTTAGATCCTTAGTTGTTCTTCGATATGACGGAGCGTTCTAAACAATCTGCTGAAGTCCGCCCCGGGTTGGGGCCCGCTCCTTGCCCCTCGCCTCGCACCTAAAGCGTTGGCAACCTTGGCGCTGCGGGGCGTCTGGTGATGGGGCCGCGGAGGGGGGCGGGCGAGGGGCGGGGTGGCGCGTCCTGTGGGAGCTTTCCTGTGGGAGGGGTCGCCTTCGCGGCGCTTTCCTAGGCGCTCGGGGGGGTCGGGGGCGTGGGCTGGGGAGTGGGGCTTCGCGGGGGGCGCCGGAGGGGGCGGCTGAGGCGGTGGGTACCTTGCCCGCTCTGTTCGTGTGTCGCGGGGCCTTTTCCTGCATGTTCACCGCGGAGCTGTCGTTTCGCAGGCGCCAGCCGGGCGCCGTCCCGTCGCCGTCCGCGTGGTCCTCACTCTCCTCATACTCCTCCTCCACCACCTCCTCCTCCTTCTCCTTCTCCTCCTCCTCCTCATTCGCCTCCCCGTCCTCGGCGCTCTGCCGCTGCGGCCGAAGCGGCGCCCTCAGCGCGAGCGCAAGCAGCGTGTCTCGCACGCGCGCGCGCCCTTCGGAGCCCTTCGTCAGTCGCGAAAGCTTTGCGCCTAGGCGGACTGTGCGCAATGGACATATGGAGAAAGCAAGGTGGAGGACGTACTCAACGTGCCTTAGAAAAGATGCGTGCCAATATTGAAAGGTGTAAGTGCATTTATAGAAGGAAAAAAAGTGCATCCAACATGGGCATTATAAGCCCATAAGACAATTTTGTGCAACAGCAGTGAGAAATTAAAGCATGGTGTTGCCAGCAAGTGATTAGTGCATTTACTGGGGGATTCTAACCGTCCTCATGAAGGACGGAAATGTCCACACTGTCCTTCCCCCTATTGAAAAGTATCTGGCTTTCTCGTGACTGTGCAAGGATCCCTCAAGGAAGGTTTGTAGTGCACAACATTTCTTTTACTCATCTGTGTTTCCTAATTTAAGTTGCATCAGGAAACACGTAGTGCATTATGGCCAATAAATCATTTGTTGTAAGAACTTACTACTTTCGTGAGCGCTATGAATCTGAAATGCTCTCGAATTTCTATTAGTGTGCAAACTGAAATAAAGAAAGACAGTTCTCACTAAGTACGTGATGAACGCAGTCAGGGTAGTCCTTGCAGCGTCTCCAAGAAAAGGCGCAATTAGTTTTCAAGAGGCGGCTGGGACTCGGGCGTAAAGGGTGGGAAGACGGAGGGGCGAAGGGGGGTAGGGGCATTCGGTTCTTTAGGGCACATTCTCTGCGATGCAAATGTTTGAACTGAAAATTTCTCTATGTAATTGTTTAAACCGAAAATTATATCACAGAGAATTTAATTTTAAAATTAAATTTGATACGTGATTTCGAAATATTTTTTAAAATTATTTCAAATAAATTTTCGAATTGTTTTTTCGAATAAATTTTTTGAAAATTAAGTAATTTTTAATAAGAGACCTTCGGAAAATAATGAAACCATTACCAATATAAGCAGTTCTTGGCCACTTGGTGAATAGTAGTCGAATTATCAGGGAAACATGTTACATTGTAGCAAAATTTTAGTGACATTAAATGGCTGTTAAAAAATGGCCCACTTATTTGCATGAACAAGGTACGTTACACTTAGATGAATATGTCTACCTAAGTTTTTGAATTTAATTTAAAATATTCGTATTTAAAGCAAATGAGTATTTCATAATATTCAATCTTCATTTTCAACTTGTCCTAAAATTCAAAAGATCAGCTGATGTTTGGGGAATTTTATCATCTATTTGATCAAAGAGAGAAAAAAAACTCTTAGACGCCTCTATCCCCCCTCGGAACCCACCGCCTTCCCTAGAACAAACGCACGGGATCTGTCTGCCGTCTCGACACAGCAATGTAACTTTTAATTTAAATTTAACACGAATTTCTTTTTGTGACAATGTTTTCTTCTACTTTTCGTTTTCAGCGAGTCTAGAATGTTAAATAATTATATTAAAAACAAGTAATTTGTTAATTATGCTAATTATGCTATTGTTAAGAGTTTCAAAAGATGATGATCAACGCACCATCGGAAACTTTTCTGTGAACACAAATCGTGCCTTCTGAATCGAATATCCGACACCCTTTGACGGTTGACGTTTTACTTTAACGCCAGGGAGTTTTGTATACCGGGAATCATATCAACGAATACCACTATTGCGTCTCTGTGCTCGTGCAAACTGAACTGCGCATGCGCAGAGGCTCGAAAGTAGTATTCTCTACGCTGCGCAAAGTCTCTTTGGTCTCATCGATGTGCAGACATCGGCAGGTCAGATCCCGCCCGGCCAGCACTCTCCCCCTCCCCCTCCCCCCCCCGCGCAGGCGCACGTGGCGCACGTGGCGGGCGGCGCGGCGCGTGCGCACGTGCGCTGGAGCGCGGCGCTGGGCCTGACCTTCCCGTCGCGCGACTTGTCGTCCGTCTCGAAGTTGGCGAGGAACTTGGTGAGGATCTGCTCCTCCGTCTCCTCGCCGCTCGCGTAGCGCGGGTTGTTCTTCACGCTGTACACGTTGCGCAGGTCGTCGATGGTGATGACGCCGTCGCCCGTGCGGTCCAGCTTCTTGAACGCCTCCTCGATCACCTTCAGCCGGCTCTGCGACATGGGCGGCTGCGGGCACCGCCAACCATACGTGTTTACTCACTGCTTGCATGCAAGCAACAAATTATGGCGCTAGCTTCAAGAGGGGCTTATAGGCGTATGGGCTCTTCTTGGGAAGAATTCTGAAACTAATGTTGCATACTTTAATCTTTAACAAAGAAATTTTCATGGTTTTATCTCTAGTCGTAGTGTTGGTAGAGTAATATTCCGTTTAACAAAGAGAGTACCTCAGAATATTGCACTTCAACCTGTCATTCGAGTTCCGCTTAATCCGGAAAATGTTACTGATATTCGGAACATATAAGGGTACTTAAAGGAAGACAGCAAATAATTTTAACACAAGTTTTTAGAATAATGTATTCTTCAAAAAGCGTCCACTGGAAATTTGGGCAAAAGTAAGTCCGAATATGATAGCTCACGAGATGAACTGTGAGGTAAAAAAATAGATTACAAACCACATTATGATTTGTATTAGCATTTTATGATAACAGCAAGTTAAAATGTAATAATATTTATAATTTACACAATTTCAATGATAAATATAAAGCGTTATCCAAAAGAAGGGCCTATAACGCATTTGTTTCTTTACGCCGCATGTTTGAAATTAAGGAGAATTAAATTACGTTCTAAATGAAATAAGTTTAAAAATAATTATAATATATTAAAAGAATAGGTGATTTGAATTAAATAGTCCAGTGTGTAGAATGCTATGATTGAAACCTTGCAATGCGTTTTTTTTATCAAAATACAGATTTGGAGTATAGGTCCGTCTTCTACCTACCGCCTCAATTAAAGTATTCGAAGAGTCGTGATGTTTACCTTTGAACTGCACTTCGTTGTTTTCAATAAATGTCACCATATTCTTTGAACAAACCATACATTCATTGCAACACTAAACATTATACAAATTCTCGGTAATAGCAATGTGTCGAGCGAATAGCGGGTACTTACTAACAGACGCATTTGCTATCATACCATTATTCATCAATGCCATTTTTTACATATTTGCAAAGATTAGATGATCTATAATAAACTCACTAAATGTTGTTGCAGATTTGCAGAGATGCAGTTGAAATGCAGATTATACCCGTCTACAATGTAGCGGGAATATTCTCTACAATGAGTTGCTATTAATTTCCAACCGCCCATGAACGTGAAATTTTTGTTGCTTTTGTAAACTTTTTGCCTGTGAACTGGCTTTGATAGCAAAAACCACAATACGAGTATATTGAGCTTATTGTAGATCACGAATAAGGTGCACAAAAATAATGATTAAATTCCTTGGAACATTGTAAATCTAAAGTATACTCGAACATTCAGATAAGTGATCAATTTCTTCTTGAAATTTACTCTAGGAAGTTTATCGCATACATCCTGCAAGCTCATCCAATAACCCCCTGAAGTACGCATACGACAAATTCAGAACTTATCTCATAGACTCGAACTCACCTTGCATTGAGCGATGCGATGTGAGAATAAAACTTTCACCTTTATTAACACATGGTGTTCATCAGAATCAAGCTTATTTCTCTCTCCCTTCTACACACCTGGTATATTGACAATGACAAAACGACAATGATAATCATAAAGGAAAAGAAATACCTGCTGTTTTTAAATCGCTTTGCAAATATCTGCTGTTGTCAAATTTAGTGTTTTCACTTGTCGTTGCACAAGAAAAAAGTCTCAACACAGACATGTCAAACGCGGACGTAATAACAAGCAATTAAAAACTAATGACGTACCATTAGTTAGTACCCCCTAGTTTCGTGCATTATTTGAAACTTTTCCATTTTTTTATAATTTATAGAGTTAAACGAAAATGTGACCTTTTACGAAGTAAAAATCAAAGAAAGATATGGAAGAAGTTTTTATAAAACTTATAAATTGTCTTTAATTCAAGCTATGAAATTACGCGAAAACTTCTCGTTTTTTTTTTTCAAGATACTGTTCATGACCTTATTTAAAGATCTACCTTTTTAGAGCCGATCTAACACTTCCCTTAAAGAAAAAATACCTTTCTTTAATATTGTAATTTTGTAATGCTCTTTGCAATATTTAAAAAAAACATAGTGTTCCACGAAATTGAGACCCGTGCAATTTTATAAGCATATGTAAGCACAATTCGAGAAAAGAAATCAAGAAAAATTGGAGCTGATTTTTAAAAAAATGTTTAAAAACTGCCTGTATTTCACGCAAACTTACGCGAAAATTTCTCGTATTTTTGACATATTACACCTTACTTTATTTGAATATTTGTCTTTGAAGAAATTATTTCATAAGAAAAAAAATCATGTCAGTATTGCAGTTGTAGAGAGTTTGAAGACAATTGACATGCTCCATTTTTTAAGCATCCTTCACTCACAGAGGAAAAAATGTAACCAAATATCGGAAGATATTTTCCAAAAAACTCTTATTTTTAAAATTGCTTAAATTTGATGCTAATTACGCAAAACTATTTTTTTTAATTGTACATCTTCATGAAGGTCTAATATAAAAAGTAAATATTGTTAAGGAGAAATACTTCTATCTTGAATATTGTATTTGTAAGAAGAGACTCAAAATATTTTAAACCTCCGCAGTTTAAGCGGAGTTAAAATATCAGCCCTACACAATTTTAATAAGGGTACTTTGATAAAAAAAGTTAAAGAAAACATTTGGGGCCATTTTTTTAGAAAATCATGAAAATGTAGTTAAATCTTTAATTTAAATCCCCAAAACTCAAAAGATTTGTTTCAAATCAAGAGGTCGCGATCTGGCAGAAGTCCCCATTCATCAGATAATATGGAATTTGGCGAATAGCTTGTCTATTCCGCGTGTTACCGGTATCGTTGTTCACGGGCAGACAGATAGAAGGGCGAAAAATTGCCCGGCAAATTATACGGACAGACAAACCCAGACAGACGTCTTAAAGAAAATTATTTAATGTACATTGAAACTACAAGTATCCACTTTTTCGTTATTAGAAAGCCACAAAAGGAGTTTTTATGTCGAAAAATCGTTGTTTATTCAACAGCAAATACTTTCTCTAAGTAGCATAAATGTAAAAGTAAAAAGGTCTTAAACTAAATTGAGAGAAAATAATATCCACTAAATTCAAAGCTGGGTAATAAAAAAATTTCGTTTATCAATCGAAAAAGTTATAAGTACAAGAAATTATGTGACGGCAGTAAATTCTTTAAAATATCCGAACCTCACAAATTAGTAAAAGAATATGCCCAAAAATATGTACATGAGAATAGGCCTTTGCAAAATGTAAATAAATCATGAATATAAAACTGGAAGTCAAAAATAAAGTTGTAAAAGACACAATTAAACTATATAAAATAAATTCCTTATCCGTCTTCCTACACGGGAGTGAATGTTGGACACTAACTAAAGATCAAATGAGAATAGAATCAACAGATATGAAATTTCCCAGAAATATAACTCGATATATACGTTTTGACCACATTAAAAATGCCGAATGTAGAAAAGAATTGAACATTGTAAGTGTAAATGAAATGCTAAATAGAAGAAGGTGAAATAAGAAACCATATACCAAGAATGTCTGAAGAGAGACTAACTAGAAAGTCTCTGAATTATAAGCGAAGAGGGAAAGAAAGCTGGCAAGACCATTAAAAAATGGAGTGAGCAAATCTAGGAACCGGAACAGACCGAATAGAGTAATTCTTGCAAGATGATGTAAAAATGGAAGAAGGGATAAAGTGAAATCCAGACCTTAAAGCATCAGATAAATGAAATGAGAATCAGGACATGATACATGATCACTGATAAATCATTGTGGAAGGTTCTCCTTTCGGTGAAAATCTGTGGCCAAATCAATCAGAATTCGGGCAAATAACATGTCATTATTATTCGAAGCACAATGCGCAGTTTTGAAATTATCTCAAAATATAAAATACGATTGCAATTGCTCTGTTTTCTTCAAAAATATTTTTTTAGTTCAATAAGAGACTTCGTTTCCGAAGTACGATATGGTGGAAGAAGGTTGATGTGATTTTAATGTTGAGTCGTTCTCGATGAGGGGCTTTCTATTCGAAAACTTACGATTTATTTCAAAATTGACGTATTGAGAATTTATAGAGTACTTTTTCGCTGGAATAATTATCTTGTTATGCAATTGTGAGATACACTGCAGATATAAGGCAGTTAGAACTAGAGTTGGCAATCCATACTATAGGCTCAACCTGTGGTTATGTGGAAAAGCAGAACTGTCACGAGCTGATTGGCTTGTGCATGAGATGACCCTGGTCCGTATGGTGCGACCTTCTAATTCTTACAGTTTGATCTAAATTTCGACCACACTGTCTTTCGGGAGGAAGGCTTGTAATCCGAAATTCTTATTTGGACTTCCGTGTTCTGCAAATCCATTCACTATGAAACAAATCTGGTCGATACCCGTACTTCAGTTGCCGATCCTTCGATGAGTAAATATCCATCTTTCTATGATTCAAAAACATGTCCCTGTGTTTCCTTCGTAATAGATGATAACGATAGGAAGATAACGATAGAAAAATCTCGAGGAAACATGCACCAATCCTTTTTTCAACAAAACTTTTACTTAGAGTGACCAGGGATTGAACGACAATCGAAGGTGGCAAGTGAGGGCCTTGGACGCTACACTACGCTTCGTGCAGTCTGTTTACGACTCTTGTACTTGTCTTGAGGCCGAAACCAAGTAGCCAATGGGTAGATGACAGTAATAAAGATACGATTGATGGTACAATGGTGGAACAAGAGGAAGGGGAACCTGTAAAATCCCGAAAAAACCTTTCGTGAACACGCATTGTGCACTACAAACTCCACAGGGATCATTCAGGATGGAAACCATCACGCAATGGAGTCGGAATTGAGCATAAAAACACCGTCACGTGCCTAGCAGACGGGAAGGGTATTGGAAAATGGTGAGGCGGCGTCGCCGACCTTCGGCCTGCGGACCCTTGCGCTGCCGTGCGCCCACACCGCCCCTCTCCCGCACGCAAATTGTCCCGCCCACCGCCCCCTAATCGTGTGCCCGTCGAACCACCGCGCGCATCTCTCCAAGAAAACATCGCATAGCTTCGGAGGAAATTGTTTTGTTTGTTCAGCGATTACTCCTTAAGACGGGTAGAATTGGAAATAAATCCCCCCAAATCAGGGATTTAACAAGTATGATTTAAAGAATTGAAAGTTACTGAGTAAAACTTATTAATTAATTTAAATAAAAATACTCATTTTAAGCAATATTTCGAAATGTAATACTTGAACAACTTTACTTATTGATCTAGCAAAAATCGAGAATGCTTGTCTAGTGCACCCTCAGTTATGTTAAGAATAATTTGCAATAATAATTAACCATACTTGTACTGATGTTCAAATTTCAAACAAAGGAGGTTAGGATTCTATTAGAATTAACACCAGAAGTTTGAGCGTATTATCGATAAATCCTAGGCCCACGAAGGAACGAATGATTTATTGAATGTATTTACATTACGTCAAAACAAGATGGTGTCACTTCGGGAGACGGGAGATGCGCTTTGTGCCCAGAAGCACAGTTCAAAGAATCTTCTGAAAATTTTCTCAATTGAGGCTTTTTGCCCAAGAGTTTGTTAATGAAAAGTCGGACAGAGTATGTGGCTTATGGACTTTCGCGTCTAGTTGACACAGAGTAGTATTATCCCCTATTTAAGCATATTTTGCGAGAGGAATTTATTATATTTATACCACAATAAAAATTTGTATTCTCTATTTTTCTGTTTCTTGAATATTTTCAAAGTGATTCTTATTTTTGAAAACACTTCTTTTTATCCGCTTATTTAGATCAACGTTTAAATTCTACCTATTCATTAAATATAAGGAAACCTTGTATGCATTATTTCGCTTGCAGTTTGATCTAAAATCGCGGTTAATACACAAAAGTGAGCGTAATAAATTATTTAGAGGTATTCAACAAATAATTTTACACATCAACACGTTATACAACAAGCTATTCGAAGACGTTCGTTAACTTTCGGAAATTCTTTTCACAAAGCATGAAACATGGGACCCGCGCATTATTTTGAATCATTCTGTGGGTTCGTGAATGAATGGAGGAGCCGAGAGTTCGTGGGCAGCGAGTTCCCGTTAGTGCCGCTTGGCTGCGCCCGAGGGCGGGTGCCGTCACTAGCGCACTCACGCGGATGGTTCGGAGGAACTCGTCCATGTTGATGCTGCCGCTGCCGTCCGCGTCGAAGAGTTCGAACAGCTCCTTCACCTCCTCTTCGTTAAGGTCCATGCCCGTGTCGTTCATGCCCTCCGTGAACTCTTCAAGGTTCAACTGCTTGTTTCCGTCATCATCCATGCGCCGGAAGATCCTGCGAAAATAACAGCTGTTATTAACATTGGATGTATTAAAGAGCATTTGACCATATTAGATATGGAGAAATTGAATGCGAAATATTTCTCTTTCTAATATTTAAAGCCCTTTTAAAACAACACTGGACGCGCGTGTTTTACTTGAATAATTACATAAAGTTTGAAAGTTCTTTAAATGTTTAAAAATGGATGTATAACGATTGAGAAATATATAGAATTAATATCATTATCTCTAACATTTTTGGAAGGACCTGTTCACCGCCCTCCGAAAAGGGGAAACAACAACGACACAATGTTCTCTAGTAATCTCTGTTCTCTCATAATCTTGTTCATCAACCTAACCTTGAATCATTTGATAGAAAAAATTGAGATTTTTTAATTGTCGTGCTGAAATACTAGATTGCGTAATTAATTGTATTAATTACTTCACAAAAAAACTCATATTATACATTCTCCTTCTTAAACAAAAAACTTTCACGTTTCTAAAATAAGTTGAAAACCGTTGATATCGCACTCTTTTTACGTTTTTTTAATTTCCTTGAGGGAGGTGTGCAGATTTCGTGAGTGGAACCCGTTTGGTTCGATTGGCATTTGCATTATATGAGCTGCATAAAAATAGTGTCTCGTATTTTAGCTGAAAAGAGAACGACCGAAGGGAAAGTTCAGCCTCTCCAGTCTGTTGGTCAAGTTTTCTGCAGAATGGGGGTCATTTACCCCTAAAGTACGTTTTAGCACAATAATGATTAAGCATTTCGTTACGTTTTAAATCTTGTTATTGTTTTATTTATTTGCTGTTTATAGCAGCTTCTGATTGAAATTCACTTTTTGTTACTATGTTTGTCGTGGACTTTCATCGCTTAACTTTATTACACTCATTTACAAAAACATGGAAAATAATAAGTTATAGCAAAATATTATTTTTCATCATTTAGCTCCATGTTTAAATTAACTAGGAAGTTCTATATTTACAATATCATTGTGAGTTGAAATGGCCGTGAAAGGGCATTTATTATCATCCGGAGTCATCACCGATTATATCGCTCGGTAATTGATGGCCTCCTGTTTGAGAGATCTAAAAGATGGGACATCTGAAAATGGACGACATCTACGCACGAGTTAGTACGTAACATAGATATTTTTGCGTGTTTTGATATCATGAGTGGATGGCAAATAGTTCTAAAGACCCAGGGAGCATCGTGGGTGTAATTAGAGGATCTGTGAATTGATAAATGAAAACATAATGAAGTGATGCATTCTCATTCGGTAATGTTTATGTTTATTTGAATGAAGGTGATAAATAAACGTAGTGAGAGTCATACTCTAGATTCTTCCTTTCATTTTATTCAATTTCTTAATATTTTAAATTAAAATTAATTTTTTGTTGCATTGCATTTAAAACGAGAGATCTTTCCATTCAATTAAATGTAGTTCTACGTAGTTACATTACATGACATATTATGTGTTTTCCAAAAGTGAAAACGGTAAATTAATAAGATACTCAGCATTATACGTAATTAAATAACCTTTTTACGATCAACAAATTTTAATGACTCTAAAAATTAAGAAACAATGATCAGTAACTCGGTGTCACGAAGTAATATTCGTAGATTAGATAGTATTGAGCTTCACACACTGATGTACGGCTGTGGTGTATTTCTTCTTCTTTTTTTCCATTATGTACGTTTAAATTTTCGTCTCCAAAAATGACTGCGATAGCAACGACTGAATTTCTTTACTACTGCCTCAGCATACACTCTTAAATTGTGAAGGAGTTTCTTTAAAGAAATACTTGCTCTCTAGCATGTAACACAACTAGTTGGTTAACTTGTTATCATAAATATCGTATCTCAAATTTTGATGAAAGTCATAGGAATTTTTTTCAAGAAACTCGAAACTCTCTTAACTATATATCTTAGAAAACAGGTTTTAAAGTTTTGGATTTATTACTACCGAGCTCTGTACGACTTACAATGATGTCAAGAACAAATAAAACTCTATATAAAACTTATAAGTAAAAAAGATACAAAGGAATAGGGTCAGCCGTTAAATAACTGATAATATTCATTTCCGTACTTTCATTTGTTATTGAAAGGTTATTTACTTATATATTTAATAGTATTTTATGTTTTGTTTTTATTTCAAGTCGAAATGAAATGCTCGAAGACATTTTAGAAAAATATCTACAAACTAATCGGACAACTATTTCTTTATTTTCTTGAATTACGTCTCATCTTATACAATCTATTTCATTTACGAACCAAAATATTTATTGAATGTTTGTTTTCAATCAAAATGGTCTTAATTAATCATATAGTTCATTAATGTCTGGTTATTTTATAATTGAAGACAAATTTGAATTAGGGCATTACGATTTTTCAATTTTTCATTTATTGACTCGTACTTTAACGTGATTTTACAACACAGCTGCCCCATATCCATTTTGCCTTAGTATTTGTAAGCTTTTTGTTGAACTCTTCTTTTTGTCATGTCGGGACTGATGTGCTGCAGTTGCCGAAAGGCAAAGAGACGGGTAGCTGCTTTGGGGAGCTTGCACCGCCCACGCTCGATTTAAACTGGCGGGGAGAGTGAGTTACCTGCCGAGGCCCAGGATGCCGGTGGTGCCCCGCGAGAGGCAGAGCAGGCGCAGGCGCTCCACAGGGTCCTTGGCGGCGGCCAGCTGGCGCTTGCTTTTGTTCACCAGGTCGGTCTCCGCGCGCGAGTTGGCGCTCTGCGGCCGCCACATGCCTGCAACAGCCAGCGCTCGTGCACGCCCCGCGCTCCCACGCCCGCACGCCCCCACGCGCTCATGCACCGCCGCTCCCACCCACTCGCCCGCCCGCTCGGATGGCTCGCTCGATGCACGGTCGATTGGATCGACAACGCCGGTCACGTGACACGCCCACGCATAAAACTGGGCCACGGCCCGGCGGAACCTCATTTCAAACACTTGTTACGCAAGTAAAACGCTGTCTGACAGTTGCTTTGTACTCGCCCTTCACGTTCAATGTGATGCAAGGTGTTTGCACACCTAGATAATATTGACATAGTAGAAGAAGGAATATTCCATTAACGTTAGATCCACTTACTCCTTTATAAAAATGTATTTTTTGTTGACTCCACATTGCTGAAAGGAGTGGATGCTTGTAAACATTTCTAATTAACCACAAGAATGGAGGATGGAATGCTTCTAAGCATCATTAATTTTTAGTATCTGTATACGAGTACAAAACACATACACTTCACCACTGTAAATATTATATTTTCCGAATTATTGTAAAATATGGTATATTTCGTTTTAAGCAACATTATTCACTTTCAATAAATGAAAGGTATTTTTACGGACATAATGTAAACTAATGGATTATTCTTTTCTAGAACGTGTGCGGAAAATTATGTAACTTAGAACTACTTCCCAGGATAACATCTCTAGTGCAAATTTACAGTTTAATATGCAAGAAGGGAACAATGCCGTGATCGATTTCTTCACGGTTTGTAGTATCAAGTCACGAATGCGTTTGCGCTCCACGTCTTCAGTTGGTTCATTTGGTTTTGAAATTACCTTTCACAATTTCCAATTTGACGGGTCCGAGGTTAGGTTTGTTGAGAAGTGCAACGTCCGACAAATGAAAGTTCGAGTCAATTTTTGAACGAAACACACTTAATAAAATATGTTTGCGAAAAATATTAAACGTCTAAGATATTTTGTTTTCATAAGAAATAGTCCTGCCAACTCTTAAGATACCTATTGAACAGATTGCACATGCTTGTAAAGTGAAGTCAGTCTAAAAAGGCGGTGAGAAACGGTATGCAGATTCTTCACCTGGACTACATATTATTATACAATTAATTATGAGAATTGTTCATTTGCATTTCCAAAGAAAAAAACGTTTGGCTGTTTGAAGAAACTACCAGTCATTGTCATGAGTTAGGGATAAATCTACAGTAAAACGTAACGAATAACGTGTATAATGATTCTTTGTGTTGTCTAATGTCTAATTTGTCTAATGTGAGTATTAGTCGGTTCCTGGCAGACAAATTCTACAGCATTACGAGTACATTGCACAATGCGTCTTATACAAAAATACACTGGTCCCTTCAGATTTTGAATGGAGAATGTTTAACTTATATAATTTTAGAATAAATTAGTTATAGTATTATTAAAAATCGTATCTTCTGTTTTTATAACAATCATGTATTTCATATGAATTGTAACGTTTCTTAACTTGATTTGTTGCGTCATTAGGTTACTTTATAATAACAAAAAAATATTTTACATGCTGTCAAAAACTTCAAAGAGTGAAAGTAAATTTGCTAAAACGATATCGAAGCCACTGTGGAAAATTTGATCATGGGCACAACTAAATAAATGAACTAAGCTTATAAATTGAATAAACGAAGTTAATAAATAGCTTTTACGTCAATATAAACCCATTCACTCATCATGTTTATCAAATTCGTTTTGTGAGAGGAATGGATATATAACATGTATATCAGAAGAATATTTAGAAAATTGCAAAGTTAGTTATTTGCTTAATAGAATGAGATAACAATTATTCGTGTAGTATTAATAAGGTATAAGGTAAATATAGAGGTAAATTAGTAAATTACAATATCTGGTTTATATAATTTAAATTTAAAAAGTACGATTTCCAGTATTCTCTCTCTCTCTCTCTCTCTCTCTCTCTCTCTCTCTCTCTCTCTCTCATATATATATATATATATATATATATATATATATATATATAATGTTATGTCACGGTCGTGGTGACTAAGGATTTTAAACAGTTTCAATAATCACAATAAATTAGAAGATAATAAATAAGTTAATTAAATTTTCATTACTTAACTTTCAATACTATTGTTTCATAACAAAGACAAATTAAACATATAAATAATTAAAAGTGTGTAGTGTAATAAAACAGATTTTTAACGCCTTATATATCAATCTGATCAATTTAGCTACAAACATTACATGTCGTTATTGGTGACTCAATAAATTGTTCGTAATCGTGAAGTCTCTTTGTGGATATACACAACAAATTAAGAAAAGGACCGATGAATATTACAAATTCTTTACTTCTATGACGAAATGTTAAATAATAGCTTTTCTCATCGCCTTAACGTATCTCTTTTAAATCCGTCCTTAGCCACGAACGTCGGCACGGACTGGGAAGTCAGTGGAGCTGATAAGAGGCGAGGTTCTAGCCAAAGGGAATTCAAAAGGAAATGCGGTCGTGGACTAGAGGAAAAGGACCGATGAGGGGGAGGCAGGAGAGAGGATGGGAGAAATGAAGACGTCGGAGGTCAGTGATGAAACGGTACATAATGTGGAAGGGGTACCACCGTCGCAAGCCGGGGCCGCAGCGGGCGACGCGACGAGCAGAATGGCGTGATGAGACAGAGGTTAGGTTTCAGGAGGGAAGGATGATAGAGAAAGTAGGTGAAGATGTGGAGAATAGAACAGTGTTGGGGATATGAGGGAAGTATTGGTAACGGGAGGGGAACGGGAGATTGAAGATGAGGAGTGGTGGGATAGGACGAAAAGGGTCGGAGCGCAACAGCACTGGGAGAAGAGTTGGACCGCAGAGAGGCCCGAAATGCAAGATAGGATGGGAGGGTGCAGAAGAGGGCAGGGGGAGGTAGGAGCGAAGCAGGTGGGCAGAGTTCAAGGGTGGATTCACACACTTTTTCAGGAAGAGATTTTTAATTTCGGATCTCAAAAAATATCTTTGAATAATTTATTTTAATGTTAGCAATTATACACACACACGTATGTATATATATATATATATATATATATATATATATATATTCGTTACGAATATTCCTGTGGATTGTAACGTAATACGATCACGTGTGTGGTAAATAATTGAATAAAATGATTGAAAGTTCAATACGTGTTGGCTGGAGAGGGGGCGTGGCAGAAACGGAGGGCGTCGGGGGCGCGGCCGGAGCTGCCGAAGCGGAGGAAGCGCAGGGCGGAGTTCGCCTTCCGTCGGGCCGATTGGATCTGGATGCCCCCCGCCCCGCCCCCCCCCCGCACCCCCCCGCGCCGCCAAGCAGACGCGCGGGCCAATTCCCGCCTAACGAGCTGCTTGATTGGCCTCCAATTAAATTTGCAACCCGGGGTCTCAGAAGGGGAAAAGGATAAAGCGGCAAAGGGGGATAGATTCCACGAGTCTTTGCTGCAAGAAAATTTTCCCAAAGAGAAGTGTTTGCGGAATTACAGTACCTGGTTTAAAGCAGTGGTTCTGACAAATAATTTTAAGCATTTATGATGGAATGTCGGGTAAATTTGTATTATCTTTCCTCTTAATATATTTTAACCATACATATTCGTTGATAGTTTAGGCGCAATGAAACCATTCTTATACGACTTTCCTTCTACTATATATATTAAGGAGGGAGTAGAAGGGAAACCTGTTGAAATTCAATTTATCTTCTTCGACGTCGTGGATACTATCGTTTCACTCCCAGAGTCTCCTTGCCATTTCGCTAGGAGCACGCGAAAACTGAACAGATGTTCTTAAGTCATGCAATTTGAAAGCTCGTCGCTCGCTGCCGATTTGAGGGACATGATCCCTCCCTCGTATTAACATCGTCGATAGCTTCTGCTCTCTACGTGATACACTCTTCATCTAGGAACAACCACCTGTACCTTTTGCAACGTTGCAATACGTTTGTAATACATAATACAAAATGAAGAAATTGTTTGAAATTTTATTGCGTAACAAATAATATATTACGTGTGATGTACGAAACAAATTGCACATTTTAGCACCAATAAACATTGTGTTTCGGTATCATTTTTAGTTTTTGTGGTTTGGAAACTGAATGGTGCTAACGTTTATTGCGCACGTCCTCCACATACCATAAATATTTGTAACAGCAAGAGACAAAGTATTTAAATATAGGTTAGCTCGTGCTAGTTATTTTCATATTAAGTTCGTGAATCCTTTGCGTTTCGCGCTGTTGAAATTGAATTGTTTTTAGATCAGCAGGGCGAAGTTGGACGCTGCAAAAAGCAATTTATAAAACAGTAGTTTCGAAACATCCCCGTAAAAAATCAAATTAAATGTACCCTTCCAACATTCGTTTAAAAAGTACGAAAACGGAAAGGTGAATAGCTTGGACTTATCGATTATCAATTCAGAGACCACTGCACTGTATTATTTATGAATTCTTCTACAACCTGCGGAGGCCCAGTGGATACCAAGGGCTTTGGAATTTAGTCTGTTCAGAAAGCGTTCTTACGCCTTCTTCTTGCAGCGAGGGCTTTCGTGCAGGGGCCAGCGCATGGGGCTGCCGGGCGGGTGGGCAGCGGCAATTGCTCCTTGGCGTGAGAGCATAGGCAACCTGCGCCACCGCCACGTCATACGCACCCGACTCGCGGCCTAGCCAACGCCTGCCCGCCTACCCTGCGGTTTACCCGCGTTAAAGGTGACGCACAGCGCCTGTGACTTCATCAGGGCACCCGGAATAGGCACTTCAAGAAGAAAATTTGAAAATAAGAGTTAAAGTCTTTTATGTTTCATATTCGCATATCGAGGAGCTTGTTCCTTCTAGAGGCAAGTTGTAGAACGAAGATGATATATTTCCGTTCACTTCTTTTACATTTAAAGAAGTTAAAAACATTTTATTAATATTGGTTTTGCAATATTGTAATATGAATGGTACACTTATGAACCAGGGTTAAACCGCATTCGTGACTAGAATATTCATTGGTCACTATCGCGTGAAGTATTTTACCACTG